AATGTGCACAGACACACAAATTTTCTGTTTTATATATATAGAGATAGAACTGTTCACAGCACTCAAGGGGGGGGGGGAAGAGAGAAACAGATTATTAATTGCTTGCAGAGTCTTTTCGGGAACTGTGGTATTACCTCAATATCTTAACAGAGCACAAAGTGACTGCTCATGTGAGCGCTGTAACGAATAGGTTTTACCCTCTCACTGCCCGTCAAAGGTTGGCGAACTTTGACATGGTGTAGTGACCTTCTCTTGAGGTTACAACGCTGAAGTTATTTCGTGATTCACTTAATCTCAATGTTACTTTCGCGAAAAATACTGCCTTTTAAACTTTTTCAGAATAAACACGATCTCTGAGTATCCGACAATTTATGAGTGGTATCATGAATAAATTCAAATCGCCCATGAGATACTTTGATGGCTATTGGCAATTTAACACAACGATCTTATCGCTGCGAAGCTTGCAAAATAAGAAAGTGAACTTTAGTAGCCCAAATGATCGTAAGGATTTCTTATACAAGTTGACCCTTGCTCTTTCTCTCACAAGCCTTAAAAACTATTTGTTGAAGCTGAAGTGTTGTCCATTTTAGGAGAACTGCGTCGTTGGCAATTCGACTCAGGGAGGTAACTGGCTAAATGAGGAGCGCGCAAACATGCCTTTCCACCCCGACAGAGTGTACACTGTGGAGTTTGTACCTAATTACGGCCAAATCCAGGTGATAAGCTCCACAACGTTAAAGGGTTTTGAAACAAGTTTGCAGGTTCTTCTCAACGGCTCACCTTTTACGACGTTCAATGAGCGTCTGCCTAGCAGAGATATTAATCTGGTTGAAATTGGCGGTGACGTTCATATTCACTCCGCTCACTATCTCTGAGGAATGTGCACTTTTACGATTTGCACGACTTTATTTCTATCAAAAAGTAGCTTACTAATGTCAGTCGATTCTTTCAAAGCAATGCAAAAAGATATGTTTCATGCGGAATTCTAAGAATTAATGTGTCAATAACCTTTGATGATTTTATAAGAGCGATAAAGTTCACCCCTTTGTAACCACAACACATAATATGATAATCAACACATCCCTGAAAAGTATATGTATAATTTCTTGACTACAATATATTGGTGATATGCAGCCATTACTCTGCTGTTTTCTGTGAGCGAAAGGTACTTTTAACGCACTGAAATAAGCAAGTTAAAAATACAACGAACAGGATAGTTTGGCCGAATCCATGCCTGTATGGCTGGCGTCATACTTGAGCGGCACAGTTCCAGCA